ATTTTTATTTATGAAACGCCCATTCCGTATGTTCTGCCTCATGGGAGGCCCTGTGAAAAATGGGAAATATTCAGTCTCTACTCTTAAAGTCACTATTCATTATGAACAAGACACTTAGTACATACAATAATAACTCTCGAGTCCATCAAAATAGTCTGAATTCTCAGCGAAAAACATGAAAGTGACAGAAGGTCACTGTATTTTGAAAAATGTAGAAAAATTATGAAACCCTGGGATCAGGTCAATAGCATTTTTCAGAGAGTAGCTCCTCCAATAAAAGTTTAATGAATTAAAAAACATACTAGGATAATTAACGTTTCTACCTTTTGAGTCTTAGTATTCATAGTCCTGAATAAGAAGTCTGCATATCCGATTAACCAAAAACAGTATTAACTCAAAATAATTTTTTAAATATTTTTTAAAACTTTATTTATTTTTGAGAGAGAAAGACCGCAACCAGGGAGGGGCAGAGAGAGAGAGACAGAGTCAAAGAATCTGAAGCAGGCTCGAGGCTCTGAGCTGTCAGCACAGAGCCCGACGCGGGGCTCAAACCCACAAACTATGAGATCATGACCTGAGTCGAAATCGGGCACTTAACTGACTGAGCCACCCAGGTGCTCCACCTCAAAATATTTTATTTTTTTAAATTTTTTTTATTTACACTTATTTATTTTTGATAGAGAGAGACAGAGCACAAGTGGGGGAGGGGCAGAGATAGAAGGAGACACAGAATCCAAAGCAGGCTCCAGGCTCCGAGCTGTCAGCACAGAGCCCGACACAGGGCTCGAACCCACAAACTGCAAGATCATGACCTGAGGCAAAGTTGGACGCTTAACCGACTGAGCCACCCAGGCGCCCCTTTTTTCTTTTTTACTTTTTTTATTTACTCAACTCAAAATATTGTAAATCCGTGAGTTAAATACGTCTGTCTCTTCAAGAATCTGTTCATCCATTTGACAGTATTTTACTGAGTCTGCCTACAGTCTGGTTGAATGGATTCAACACTGAACAAGAAAGACGTGGTCCTTGCCTTCCAGAAGCTTCAGTTAAGCAAAAAGACATGGATGTTACACCAAGAACCACACAAATGACCAAGTCTAATTGTGAGCTGGGCAACAAGGCAGAAGAGAGGGCACGGAATGTAGGACACGGACAGAAGCCAAGGGCCCGGGCAAGACTTCTTTAAGAGGATTCATATTTGCAGCTGAACCCTTCTGCGGCATCTAACAGACAAAAGGTATGTGAAGAACAGAGAAGAGGCCGGTGGCGGGCACACGGGGAGGCCCCGCACATGAGCCGTGGAGGGAAGCATGGCTGAGTCACCAGCAGGCTCAGCGCCATCTTGGAGGGCTGTCAGGGAGCTTTACCTACAGCCCAAGCCACAAGATGGTTTGTGTGGGGGTGTCAGATTCTGATGGCGGACTAAAACTCCCATTAATTTCCCTAAACCAAAATTCCAGTGAAGAATTTTTAAGACCCAAATCCGCTTAGTAGCAGCAAAGTTTTGGAAGGTAACAACACAGATGAGTAAAAAGTGACTGATTTAACACAATCAACAGAACCCATCTCAAGCCTTCAGCAGCAAAGCTGAGAACCAATGCAGGGCAGACAGCAGAATCTTCGAGAGACTCAGCAAATGGTCACACCACACACATATGCCTAAAACTGGGGGTGGATGGGAACCGATGAGAGAAGAAGCTCCCTCCTCCACTCCCAAAGACCAACCGTGCTCCCCACTCACCTCTGAAGCAGATGATACAGCTGGCCGCGGGGCTGTGGGTGCAGTGCCGAAACGCCGGCCCCCTTCTCCCCACTCACCCAACAGCACCGACAGCCGGCCTTTGAGCCTTGGCCTGGAAGTCGAAGAACCCTCTGGAAAATCAGCTAAAGAGGAAAAACCACTGCACAAAGAAGTAGCCTTCCAGGGTCACCCACACCCACACAGCTCTCCCTCAGCTTTCTAACCCCCTTCTTACTCGAGAGCAGAAGGTCAAGGATTTGCAGCTATCTTTGTAAAGCCTCCAACAAGAAGACAGGAAACAATCCAAAAGCAACATGGAGGAACTAAATTATTCAGGGAGGGGAAAAAAAAAACAAACTTCTAAAAGTCAGTAATTCCAACAAGATAAACTCATGCGTCCATGCTGTGAGAACGGGAGGCTATAAACACAGCATTCAGCGAAGACACACCAAACAAGTGCTCGTAGAAACAGGACGGCATAAGCAAGTTTCAGGAAACTTCTCACAGTGGAGCAAACAGACAAGGAAATGAAAAATAGAACTGAAAGGAAAAGAAGCGGGGGGGGGGGGGGGGGGGAGAGGGAGAAAGAGAGGAGGAGGCAGGAGAAAGAGAAGGGGGAGAAGGAAGGGGTGGAGGAGGAGGGGGAGGAGGAGGAGGAGGAAAAAAACCAGTCCAGGAGAACCACATCCACGTGCTCACAGATCAAGGGAGCAAAAGAGAGGTGGGAGACATCATTTTAAAAAAGAAACATCCCCCAGTTAAAGGCCTGAGTTCCAGCCAGCATACTGGAAGGAAACAGATGCCCACCAAGGCATTCCTCTGTGAAATGGCAGAAGAGTGGAGGAAAACAGAAGATTCCGGAGAAGGGAGGGAAAAGATGGAGCAAGACGTCCAAATTCTTGAGAAAACGGATAGTGAGGAGCCTAGAATTCTCCACCCAAACAAACCGCCGGTGAAGCATGAGGACAGAACAAAGACATTCTCACTCACTCGGGGACAAGGGTCCTGTCGGCTGCCATCATGATGACGGCTGCCATGTTGCATTCACCTTCAGAATCTGAGGAGAGAACGTCAAAGCAAGCCAGACCAAGACCGCTGACAGTATCTGGCTCATGCCGACTGCATACGAAACACGCTCCCAGTGCCTGCTCTAGGCCCAGCTGCCTGCAGCCGATGAGACCATTCCATTGACTTCCCAGAGAAGCCGTGTTTGGGCTTCCTCCTGGAACAGCAGTAAGCTACAAGGGCAGAAACTACAAACCCACTGGTTCCCGTCCATGTTTCTAAAGATGTCCGGCACGTGAAGTTCATGCTACAGCCCTGGAAGATGACCCGGCTGAGAGGAACCCTAATTCTCTGACGATCAGCTCGTGCCTTTGCTGACTCAACTCTCTTGTAAGCTGAGGAAAAGCAAAGCCAACTTACTAACCAAACGCCATCCAGCTAATGCCCCCCAGGAAAGGGCCTCTTCTAAAACAGGGAGGCTTAGACCAGCTTCTGACTTTGTCAAGGCAAATCACGTAACAGGAAAACAGACAGAGGCAGTAACACTGCAAAGAGAAAGCGAGGAAGTGATCCCCACAAAACGAGGCAGAGCCCCGAGAGTGCGTGGGGGAGGGACGCGCACAAGGGCTCCCGGTGGTGACTTCTCGTATTCTGCGTCCACCCCTGACTCTGAGCTCCTCACAGATGTCTGATGTATTTCAAAACAAAATCTAGTTTGAACACAACCCAACTTATACATTTAAAATATTCCTAAGGCCACCGCGAAGACAGCGGACATCACCTGCACGGGTTGACAGAGGGCCGCGAAGAGACCGTGGGGCCAGAAAGGAAAAGGAAAAGCTGTTCTTCTTTACTGTCATTATCTTTTCCAGGGGAGAATGTTATCAGGAAAGCAAGAAAGGAAGGAAAGAAGGAAGGGAGGGAGGGATGGAGGCAGAGGTGAGGAAAGAAGTATTTGATCAGTTAAAAAAAAAAAAAAAAAAGAATGCCCAAGATACTGCTTCGTTGCCAACAATCACTACTGCTAACAACCAATTCTTTTTTTTTAATTAATTAATAAATTTATTTTGAGAGACAGAGAGCAAGCAGGGGAGGGGCCGAGAGGGAGAGGGAGAATCCCAAGCAGGCTCCACGCTGTCGGCACAGAGCCCGACTCGGGGCTCAAACTCACAAACCACAAGATCACGACCCGAGTGATCAAGAGTGATCAAGAGTCGGACACTCCAGTGACTGAGCCCCCCAGGCGCAACCCCCCGACATCCTGTTCTATTTACGCGGTTCGTCTAGCGCAACAGGATCAAAACGCTGTAAAAGTCATCGCTCAATTAAACTGCAGAACGTAATTTTATCCCTTGTTTCAAAAGCGGTCTTTTTAAGTTAAAACCGGTGTTGCAAACCAGGAAAAGCGCGGCTCGAGAAGGCACGTGATCTGCTGTGACGGGTTAAAATCCTGAGCCACGACTTGGGCGTACATAAAATTCAGGAAGCCGATGCCCGCGCCCAGGCCCTGAACTCCTCCTGCCCCTGGCACCTAAACGCCTTCCTCATGTCATTCCCCACACGGGACGTGAAAGGTACTGCAGACAGGTGTCCCCTCGGGACCAGGAAGCCAGTTTCTGCCAGCCGGCTGTGACCACGTTTAGAACCGCCCAAGACTCAGGGTCCGCGTAAAAACAGCCGTTGGAGGCCTTCCTCTGGCCCGGATGGGTCATCCCTGCCCACGGCTTCATATTAAGTGGTGGGCATGATTTCAAAGCGTTAAGAACCCGGCGATCCTTTCCCGCTATGATGTCATTCCCCTTCCGTTAGCACCTACAAGGCCTCGCGCCCAGCATGTATTCGCACAAATTTCCTGGGCCATCCAGAAAACCGAACCACCAAGAGGCGCATCACTGTCGATTCGTTTTACCCAACAAATACCCAACGAGGCCTGCTACGTCTTCTTCAGTCCCTTTGGTAAAGGGCGAAGGAGGGCAAAGGAGGTGACGTGACTCTATACCAGCCCATTATGGAGAAAAACAGTAAAGCCACGGCAGTTCCACGAGTGTTTCGTAAGACGAGAATTTGTGAGGATTACAAAGCGTGGTCAAAGCACACAGATAAACACTTGGAACGTCGCGAATGCGGAGCGGCCGAGCTTTTCGAAACTAGCTTTTGCAACCGTGGGGAGCGCTTCGACGTTAAGGAACCTTTCACTCCAGAACTCGCACGGTCTGAGAAAGAATAAACAAGTCGCTACGAACCGACATCTTACCTTAAACACTTCCATCGGCAGAGGAAACTTTGTGGCGTCAATAAGGGATTTTTCCAGAGAACACTTCCACTCAGAGGCCATCTTCAAAGGATAGATTTCTGTATCAACAGCAAACCACAGAAGCGTGTAAGGACTCACATATTCTACTGGGTGGTTCTTCCTGGAATTTTACTTTCCAGGTTTTCAGAGTCACTGGCACACTCAGCGACCGTGAGCACTCACACCCTGCCCCCATAAAAGGCCACCTGCTGAGGGGACTTTCTGAGGTTCAACAGCAACTTGAGCCGCTGCGATCAGACATGAAGAATAAACTTAATAGGGCCCTTCAGGGGACACTGGCGGGCATTCTGTAAGTGATTTAATGGCATAAATCACCCCAGCGCCATCTTCAATCACCTGCTGCCCCAAATTCCATGTAAACACCTGGGAAGTCACACCCGCTGATGAAGAACTTAGGACCCGATAAATTTCTAAACTAGACACGAAGCTCGTCTGGCATTTTAGGTTATTACGGCCCATTTTTCACTAAACCTCTAAGCCCGCATCTGCTAAACATAGCCCACGTGAGCCAGGAAATTATTAAAAGGTGAATTAAAATTTACCAACCAAGTTTAATATTTACACTTGAAATGTTGCTAACACACCCCACGTGGCCCATATTCCACCACCCCCCTCCCGCCCCAGGGGGTGGGGGTGGGGGACAGAGGGATTGACGAATGGAGGTGACTCTGGCTGAATGCAAAACTGAAAGAGAAAAAAAAAATGTGTTGAGCCCTGTTTCCACCGATTGCTGAAACTGCAGGGGAATTTTATGATCTGATCTCCACGGATTTAAGACCTTATCAAAATAGGATTTGCAGAAGCACTCACTTGAAGGAGATATGTTTATACCTTCCCTATATCAACCCAGGCTACTCCAGACAGACCGTTAGGACATGAATATGAATTTAAGCACAGTTAAAAGGCAACATTAAACCTTTGGGGCTATATTTTTAATTTCTTGCATGTCTGCTTTTCAGCATGCAGCCATATATTTTGACACCCACAGCTTCTGAACTCACCTTGAGCCTGAGTGCCTGTGTTTTAGCAGTTTATCGAGTCTTTTCAGGCTACCAGAATTAGGAGAGGAGAAAGATGCTGCCGGAAGGAGTCAAGTTATCAAGGTTCAGCCCACTGTCATTCACTGTCCGTTACGCAAAGTCACGTCAAGGGTTATGAGTGACCAGACAGGCTCTGCTGTGCACACTGTATAATCCTCCTTAACATTTTATTTATACTCTTCTACCTCTAGGGCATCTTTTTTCCCCAGTTTGGCATTTCTATATCGGAACACAAAAAGAAAGTGATTCTCCTTCACAGTATCTGACATACTCGGGCGGACACGGTGGGGCCCCAGAAAATGAACCAACGGTCCCTCCACCATGCACAGGTGAGGAGGGGGGCACAGGGTCCCACAAAGGACAAAGAAATCGCTGGTCACAGGGTCCCACAAAGGAGGAAGAGGGACCGGTTCACAGCCTTATAAACTGCCCCATGAGGAGGATTCCCTGAAACGCACCAATGGTTCAGCTCAGGGGCACTGCATTAAAACCTCCGTGAAAGGGAAACAATTGCCCCAGGGAGCAAAGGCTGAGGACACCAAGCGCGGCAGGTCAAGAGCCTCAGGAGGGAAAGAACACACAGGAGCCCAGATTTCCTGAGCAGACAGGAACAAATTCACAGTCCCAGGGATCTGGATGCTGGTCAACAGGGAGTTCAACCTTGGCACGGTAGTAAAAAGAGAGCCAAGGTCACGAAAAAGGACGGTGCTGGTCAAAGACGAGACACAAAGGGTGAGAAACGGCAAGAGAAGGTCCCCTGTGCTGGTGCCTGAACCCCTGCAGTCTGCAACTGAGGCATCTGGGGCTGGGGAGCCCCAGAGAGAGAGAAGAGGGGAAGAGAAGAGTGGTTCATGAAAACTATGCAAGACCAGAGCAAAAGCCCCACCTGGCCAGGGCTGGATCCAGACCACCAGAACAGAGCACGGTGATGTGCAGACCCCAGCAGGGATGCTCACAGCCCTTCCCGGCCCCGGCAGGTGTCCCCACACGCTGGCGGGGCACCACTCTGCCCACCACGCCATCTCAGAAGGTGTCCCCCCAAAAAGTCATGTTGAAATCCTTCCCCAAAAGTGATGGTTAGGAGGTGGGGCCTTTGGGAGGTCACAAGGGGGAGAGCCCCCAAGAACGGGATTAGTGCCCTTATAAAAGAGACCCCCAGAGAGCCTCTTCGCCCCTCCCACCATGTGAGGATGCTGAAGGACGGCTGCCCGTGACCCAGGAAGCGGACACCAAATCTGTGGGTGCCCTGATCTCGGACCTGCAGCCTCCAGAACTGGGAGAAATAATAAATGCCCAGTCTGTGGTATTTATTCTCCTAGAACAGCCTGGATGGACTAAGAAACCCAGGCTCCATGCGATTTTTGTCTCTGTCCTACAACCTTACGATCCTTTGTCTTCTTTCTGAGGATATTATGTTGTGGAATTTAACCCCATGGCAAGGCACGCTTCTCTTAGAAGGTGAAAATCAAATGTGATTTTTTTCAGAATGCTCAACCACCTGCAAAAGCTAAACACCTCACGGTTCCAATAAACAGAGAACAATATTCCGTGTGTGTGTTTCATTAGGACAGAGAGGCGCATGGTTACACCAGCAAGTTTATGGACGATAAATAGCGCCATTAAAAGAACATAAACCATTTTCTTAAAATGATTGTGTTGCAGGTAATTTAATAGAGTGTATCATGTCGATTTCTGTTTGCGGGGAAGTAATAAGCAATTAAAATCTGGCCTGACCCATCTTTAACTAGAAGCCCAAGTGGAAATGAGGCGCTCGCCCTCTGAACGTTTGGCCGGCTCTTGCGAGGCGAGGGCTAGAGAAAACAGGGGGGGAGCAGAGGGCCACCAGCTCACAGCCTCCGACTGAAGGAAAGCCTGGAGGGGTGACCCCCCCTTTTCATGCACCCTGCAACGACCACCCCTTCCTGTCTCACCAGTGAGCAAAGACTGGTCTATGCTTCCTTCCAGACACTGGGAAGCTGCAGACGGAATGTTGGCATCTCCCCAAAATTAATACGCTGAAGTTCTAACCCCCAATGGGATGGTGTTTGGAGATGGGGCCTTCAGGAGGTAATCAGGGTTAGATGCGGTCATGAAGGTAGGGTCCTCATGACGGGAGGAGCACCGAGCTCTCTGTCTCTCTCTCTTTCCATGTGCATATAAAGAAGAGGGTATCCACAGAGGAGGAAGTGGGCTATCCCCAGAACTCAACCCTACCAACACCCGCATCTCGGACTCACATCCTCCAACACCACGAGAAAATCATCTGTGTCATTTAAGACCTCCGCACGTTTTGTGTGGCCGCCTGGGCTAACTAATACGGAAAGCGACAACCATCTTTGGACGGGGAAATAGTTCAGAAATTTCCAGACTCAGGAAGACAAAGAAAAATAAATGGCTGCCATAAAGGTGGTGAAGGCAAAAAAAAAATACGGAAAAACATCGAGAGACAGAGATGCAAAAGGCCTCAGAAGGTTTCCTGTCCTTAGTTTCCGCAACAACACGTTAAGACTCTACCTCGCTCTCCGAACATCCAGAAACACGAGAGCAGGGGGGGAGGCCTCTAAGAGACCACTGACCTCAACAACCTTCTCAAATTTCCTAGAAACCCGAACAGAACCACACGACTCTGATCGCAGAACGAGTATCTCGAAAACGCCCACCACTTGCGGTATCTTGTCAACGCTCCACAGCACGGCAAATGTACAATGACCCCCATTTTGCAGAGGAGGAAAGTAGAGGGGCTGCCCAGGGCTCTGTAGCGAGGGGCAGAAGTGCAAGAAGAAGCTGGAACTCAGACCCTGGCTCCAAGTCCACGTTCTTCCAGCTCCGCCCGCTTCTTCGAGCTGGAGCCACACGTGAACTCTTCTAGAGGAACGAACATCACCGTGAACCCCACAGAGCCATATTCCTGCCCACGGAGTGGGTCCTGGAGCCACGCCGGGTGCTCAACAACAGATCCCAGTAACAGAGAGCACCTCCCTCATCAGGGAAATACAAATCAAAACCACACCCAGGGATCACCTCACGCCAGTCAGAGTGGCCAAAATGAACAAATCAGGAGACTACAGATGCTGGAGAGGATGTGGAGAAACGGGAACCCTCTCGCATTATTGGTGGGAATGCAAACTGGTGCGGCCACTCTGGAAAACAGTATGGAGGTTCCTCAAAAAATTAAAAATAGACCTACCCTATGACCCAGCAGTAGCACTGCTAGGAATTCACCCAAGGGATACAGGAGTGCTGATGCATAGGGGCACTCGTACCCCAATGTTTATAGCAGCACTCTCAACAATAGCCAAAATGTGGAAAAGGCCTAAATGTCCATCAACTGATGAATGGACAAAGAAATTGTGGTTTACATACACAATGGAGTACTACGTGGCAATGAGAAAGAATGAAATCTGGCCCTTTGTAGCAACGTGGATGGAACTGGAGAGTGTTATGCTAAGTGAAATAAGTCATACAGAGAAGGACAGATTCCATATGTTTTCACTCTTATGTGGATCCTGAGAAACTTAACAGAAACCCATGGGGGAGGGGAAGGAAAAAAAAAAAAAAAAGATGTTAGAGTGGGAGAGAGCCAAAGCATAAGAGACTCTTCAAAACTGAGAACAAACTGAGGGTTGATGGGGGGTGGGAGGGAGGGGAGGGCGGGTGATGGGTATTGAGGAGGGCACCTTTTGGGATGAGCACTGGGTGTTGTATGGAAACCAACTTGACAATAAATTTCAAACAACAACAACAACAACAACAACAACAACAACAACAACAAAGAGCATCTCTGCTTGATCCAACCCTGTTTTCAAACGCTCCCCTTACTCATCAGGGGCAAAAAGGCTAGCACAGCTCTTGCCATTCTGGGGGAGGTCTCCCCCTCCAGATTGGCGTCCACAGCCCCAATAATTATTTGGCTCTTAAAAGCTGGACTCGGCCGGTTCCCTCCCTCCCTAGAGACATCCCCAGCTTTTTATTCAGTCAGTTCACCGGACAAATATTCACTGAGCACCCACAAAGCGCCAGGCACCGGGGACGCAGCACAGAATCAGACACAGATGTTCGGTTAGAGGGGTACTGAGATGCCCTCACGACGGGACCGTCTGAACGAAGCGAGGGGACGGTCAATGCCACATCTGGAAGAATGGCCCCCCGAGGACAGGACGTGCCTCGCAAGCCCGTGGAACACAGAGGAAGCGGAGGTGCAGGGAGAGCACTCAGAGTGCAGGGCTCCAGGGCTGCGTGGCTGGAGAAGGAGCTCGGGTCTGATCGCAGGCTGCCTTCCGTTCAGCACAGAAGGGAAGCCGCTACCGGCAGGATTTCCGGTCCTCTCCCGATAAAGCCTGAACCGCTAAGGACTTCAGGAAGTGGCTGCCCTCTTCCTCGACCCCCTGGCGTTGCATCATTTTCCGCTCCCTCACCCAGTCTTCACCGAAGCTGGATTCAACCTCCTCCGTCAGCACCCACGTGCCCCCCGGACCGCCCTGGGTGTGACACGGGGGGGGGGGTTCTTCGAACCCTCTTTCTGTCCTCCCCCGACCTGTCTTCTCCAGTTTGAGCCAGAGATGGGAAGACACAGGGAATGTAGCTTTCTCTCTGCTAGACGGTCTACGAGCAGCCCCCTTTCCTAGCGTTTTTGAAAACTATCCAGCCACTTTCTACTACTCCTTACTTCTGCCTTGATTTGTACTGAACGGTTGAGAAATCTCAGGCCCTTTAACAAGTAAAAAGAGTAAGTGAAGCTGAAGGATGGGCCACGCTTCGTGTTGGCGAAGGTGGCAGTTAGTGGGGACACAGCAAGGCAGGCGTGGAGGGGTGGGTCCGCAGGGCTTACTCTCAGGTGCACCCTGAGCCATCTCTCCTCTCCCCTCCGCCCCACACCTCCAAATCCCCTTCTTATTGAACAGTCAACACTTTTCGTCTAGCTAAGGGTGTCTGGCGATAAGAACAATAGCTAATATTTTTATGCAAGCCGGAAATTTTCTTCCCACCTATATTTCCGTTAAGGGAAGAGCACGACCGTGTAAGTTTCGAGTCCCTCTGGGTCTTGAAATTGATTTACACAGGCCCAAAGTACCGGGTTCTGTTCGCGTGTATAAGACACGGGTACCCTACATTTACAGCAGCATGATCCAAGACGGCCAAAGGACGGAGGCAGCCCAAGTGTCCATCAATAGGTGAACGGATAAAGAAGGCGTGGTTTCTATATGCAATGGAGTCTTACTCAGACGTAAAAAAGGATGAGACCTTGACATTTGCAACAACATGGATGGAGCTGGGCAGTATTATCCTCAGTGACATAAGCCAGTCAGAGAAAGGCAAACACCATACGATCTCACTCATGTGTGGGATTTAAGAAACAAAACAAATGAGCGGGGGGTGGGGGGGAAGGGGAGAGGCGGGGGAAGCCAAGAAACAGACTCTTAACTATAGAGAGCACAGTGCTGGTCACCAGAGGGGAGGCGGGTGGGGGATGGGGGAACTAGGTGATGGGGATCAAGGACACACTTGTGATGAGCACTGGGTGATGCAAGGAATGGATGGATCACGAAACTGTGCACCTGAAACTAATATTACGCTGTTTGCTAACTAACTGGAATTTAAGTAAACACTTAAGAAAATAAAATAAAACTCAACTACTATAATCGCCACCTCGCGTGTTGTTCTGCTGCGTGAGGCAAGGGAACCCAGCTTTCGTCTTGCATGAAGAACCTCATCTGAAGAACTAAAAGCCACACTTGAGTGTCCTTTTGCCTTTTATTTTCCTCTCCCCATACAAAACCTCTCTTGCCAACAATTTAAATGTTGAGAAAATAAACTTCTTCACGACGAAGGCCTCCTCCAAATTCTTTAAGGACACGCACGAACTCTTCAGTGGAATGGACAATTCGTGTCCGGAAATTCACTAAGACCGGTAAACACAATTTATTCTTGTCTTATAAAGACATTAAATTATCGAAAAGAGACAGAAAGAGAGAGAGAGAGAGAGAGAGAGAGAGAGAGAGAGAGAGAGCTCTCCTGTGCAAGTATCTCCTAAGTTTCTATGGTGACACTTTCCATTATTCTTGCTTTGGAGTATGAGTCCCCAGACTTCACAGCAAAGAACACTGCACAGAACTTAAGAGGCAAGTAATAATCCTTTGCTATAAATGTTCACACTGGCAAATATAGGGATCTCCTAAAATTTATAAAGCAATTAGATACTAAGCTAAGATTTATACACCCGACTTCCCACACAAAGTAAATTTCTCCTGCCAGGTTATGAATCCCAAGGCAAATGTGAGCTTAGATCTTTTCTCAACACTGACAGGCCCTTTGTTTGTCATCAGAGTCCAAAATTACTCAGGGTATAAATGCATTTCCTGGCTGCTTCTCAAAACGTTGACAACAATAATACTAATAAAATACCGTGTTATGGGTCTATATGCCTGTCAAACTCAACATAAATGCAAATACATGACATACAGAACCAGGACCTTTTTTTTTTTTTTTTTTTTCAATTAAAGCCCTTGAGTGACAGAAGGGAGGAATGTTAACTCCTTCGCTTCACGGACTCAAGACGGGCACCGGCACCTAATATGGCAGGAAAAAAGATCGCCGGCAATTTTAATAAAATACTTGGCTCTCTGCTTCCAGTGTATCTGGTGAAACGGACCAGGATGAAAAACAGAAATTTCTGGAAGACAGTAATATTTCTATCTTGTCATCTTTAATTCCATATCCAACATTTTTTGTTCTGAGGATACCCATTAAAAAAAATGGTAAGGCCAGTATGGGCAGCAGGGGGAACGGGAAGAAATGGGGGGCAAGGGGCCATCGCCCTTCAAACTAGATGACCTTGGACAAGTAGCTTACTCTCAGTCTCAAATTTTCTCTGCTGGAAAAGGAAATATTCACACCAAACATGCAGCACTTTTTTGCAATCAAAACAAATACCACACCAGATGTAAAATCACCTAGCACACAGTGAACGTTCAAGAATGGTCAGTTTATGAACAGTGAGATTCTCGCCCGGTGAGGTACGTATGGAAGCATAATGCACTATTTTGTCCCAGTAAGTCTGCGTAAAGTCATTTGACGGTGCTTTTGAAGCGACTTAATATCCCTGATGTGCCAGGAAAAAACGTATGACGATTTTCTCTTTGCCATTTCCAGGTCAGGACAGATTATATAAACAAGCATTTGGTTTGGATATTCGGATGGATGGATGGATGGATGGATGGATGGACGGACATGGGTAGATGGATGGATGGCAAATGGGTGGGAGGCTGGGAGGGTGAAGGGATGGGTGAATGGATGGATAGGTAGGTAAGTGGATGGACAGGTAGATGGACCAATGGATGGAGGGGTATGGATGAGGGGCAGGGTACAGATGAACAGAGGTGGATGAATGAACGAACGGATGAGAGGGTGAATGGATGAGTGCGTGGGTGGCTGGATGGATGGATGGATGGATGAAGGATGGGTGGACAGACAGAGATTTTGGAACTTACTTCCAAGACCGTCAAAATTCCTAAAGAAAAAGGGAGAATATGACCAAGCCCCAGTCCACCGGGCCTTTCATTTGCGAACCAGGGATTCCAAAGGAACTAGATTAAACTTCACCGCAGCCTCCGCTGCTTTCCCCTCGTAAAGTATTATTACCTGAGGCCTTGAGTTCTGTTTTCTACAGAAAGTATTCTTAAGTTAAAAGGCTCAAGATGCACGTACACGGACCTGAACAAAGTGTCCAGAGGCGTATCCGGGAAAATACCACACGTTTTTCCCAAGTACTTCCCAGCAGCCTTAGCCTCGGCCCTTACCTGAAGGTGGGTCCATTCTGTACTTATTCTCTTGACACCAACCAACTGGTCGAAGTCTGTAATCCAAGTAAAACAACCACTGGTCATAGGATTCAGTGTCCTCCAATCCCACATAGCGAAGGCGTAATCTTCCTCCAACATTTTCAATCACACTAACTATCCAGTACTGAAAAGGGTTGTGAGAGTCCTGAAGTTCTATTAAGGAATCAACTGTAATGAGGTCTATAGGGCCTTTCCCTCGCAGAGGCTGTTTAAACAGAAGCAAAACTCCTTATTTTAAACTTTATGTTGAGGTTCCCATGGAAACAGATGACAGCAGAAGATAATATTTTCTCACACCATCATCCAAGCTATTGGCAGACAGTCTGGCGTTTCCCTCCTCCCCCCTCCTTTCCGCGCCCACGGCCCCGCCCCTGCCCGCTTCCCCCCCCCCCACACACACACACACTTGCACATTTCACCCAGCCCTCTGCCCGACGACACTCGCAAGTAAACAGAACATAACAGTGTGCGCTCTCGTTCTCACCAAACAAATCACCCTTCCCGGATAAAACCGGGTTTGCTCGAAATAAGCATGCTTTTAAGGAGAGTTGCCCCCAATTTGCCTCGAGCTGGAAAACATGCGGTAGCGAAATGTCTACTTTTCCCACAGACAGATGTATCCGCTATGGGGCTATCACTTCGTACTGTGACCCAACAGACATTTATCTTAAACTGGCTACCACTCTAAGGATTAAGACTCTCTCATACTTGTGTGAAGAGGTGTAGATGGCATGTTTTTTCCACGTTTAATGATCGGCTACATTCGACAATTAACGTGAAGTTATTTCTACACCTGACCCGACAGTTAGTTTAGAGACGATATATAATTACGGCCCCATATAAGCAACCCTCTCAGCGTAAGTTAAGACGTGAAAAGGGTGTTTGTTCAGTCAGCCGTGAGGGCAAATACATTTAAAAAAAAAAAAAAAAAAAAAGAATGAACAGAGAAAGACAATTTGTCCTTCTGAAAGGGTGAAGAACCATCATTTTGATTTGTTAACCAAACAATTGAATTAAGAGCCATTAAGATAAGCAAATACATTAGGCAAAATCTTCACAAAACAACACCGGATAACTATATATCACACAGCAGTGCTCCAAAAGTCAATGTCATTGATGAGAAGAGGGAAATTTACGGTTAACGTTAAGAGAATAACGAGTGTCAAAATCCACACCGTATTCCTTGTTATTTACTATGTGTTTCCCCGTTTGGGGCGGGGGGAGGCATTTTTCAAACAGATTTGGTAACTCAGTAATTATTTTTGACAGTGCACTGTTCCTCCTATTATATGTGGTAAATATTTAAATGCTTTATCACGAAATTATTGTTAAATGAACCATCAAGGTTCCAGATTAAACTATTTTTTTCCTCAGTACCTTAAAAATACCTTAACCGCACTGAAATATGATTAGCCAATTCTCCCCTTGTTTTCATAAGGGGAGGCTAATTCAATTATTATGTAACACCTGTGTGTCATCATCGTGAGGGTATACATCCAAGAACGGAGTAGTCAATGGAACCGCTTATCGGTATACCCCAAGACTACACCAGAGCACGTATATTTAGTGGTCACCTCCATAAGCTCAGTTATTCCACGGGACTTTATATTCACTAATATAGGACGGAGACTTAAATGTACCGGAGAGTGGAAAGACATCCTAACGTTATCATTGAAAGGCGTGAGGCAAATTTTCCACTTATTGACTGGAACACAGGTGAAGTGTCTTGAGTGCCGTAAGATTAACCAAAGCAACTCATGAAACAAACAGGAAGTGAGGCCATTTGGGTGGAGACATCCGCACATACACATGCACCTGCCGAAGGACACATGCAAAGGCGCTCATGTAACTGTCATGCTTCAGACACAGAATAGCTGAATAACAACAATACATACACCTTCCAGGAGGCTGGCGGGGGCCGTCCGGGAACCAGTCAAATCGCGAATGAGGAATTGTGTCCAGTCTGTGTACTTCTCTTTGATTGCTGGCAAGACAAAAGAAGAAAACAACAACACTTCAACACAGCAGGGGAGTGTCCGAGAAGTGTACCATCGCAGTGCTTCCCAGGACACGCGTGTGGTTTTCGATACTTTTCTTACTCTTAAGCACCAGGCTTCCGTTCTAAAACGAAGACAAGAAATCTGTCATCAGCGGGTGACTTCATGCCTCCGGTGGGCCTCGATTTTGCTGGGTATCCAGGGGGCTGACGAATGCGGGGCCCTGTTGTCTTAGCATCTATTCAGAAACTTCCGTGGGCAAAAAGAAGATACTGTCAAGCACAAAACTGGGGAGGTTCCAAGAAGAAAGGGACCCGTGAGGGGCAGAAGACTCAGGTGCAAAAACAGCCACAGGCTCTGAAGGACAGGAAAGGTGTTACAGGTGGAGAAGAGGAAGAAGGGATTTTTGGACTGAGAGAAGGAGCTGAGAGGAGGCACAGGGAGGGAGACATGGAGGAGGAGGCAGCGTCCAGTCCGGGGGGGGGGGGGGGGGGCGGGGACACACGCCACGCGGCCGCCCAGAAAGCCAGCATGAACACTGAGTAAACGGGAAGTCGCTGTATAAACTGAATCTGAAGACAGCATAAAGGCTCGGATGGAAACAGAAGAGGCGAGTGGCAGAGAAACCCAAGAGGAAGCTAGCGCAGGTCTCTAAGTACCAAAGTGACGGCGCCCCAAGCAGCGGGGACCACACCCAGGACAAGGAAGGACTTGGCCGAGACATCTCTGAACAAAGGAATAGCAGACGCAGAAGTCAACAATCAACAAGCGCTTAGAACCCAAGACTTGAGGAACACGGCATTCCTGGCCTAGCTCCCAAATCGTAGATGTCCAAAGGCTTCGCCAGGTTACGTCCACACCCAGGAGAGGCCCTGGACCTTCCCCGGGGCATCACAGGATTCACAACGCCAGGAACAGAGGGCAGCGAGCCTCACATCCCCATCCGGCCACTCTGTGGATCCCACGGAGAGCCAGCCGGCCCCGGAGCCCGGCCGAGGATACATTCGCTACTTAGCTTTCGTGAGTTGCTTGTGCTCTGCAAAGGCATGAGACAACCATTTCTTGTTCAAGGGGCGCCTGGGTGGCTCAGTGGGTTGAGCGTCCGCCTTCGGCTCAGGTCATGATCTCCACGGTCTGTGAGTCTGTGAGCTCGAGCCCCACGTCGGGCTCTGTGCGGACAGCTTAGAGCCTGGAGCCTGCTTCACATTCTCTGTCTCCCTCTCTTTCTCTCTCCACCCCTCCCCTGCTCACACGCTGTCTCTCTCTCTCCCTCAAAAATAAATACACGTTAAAAAAAAAAGTGCAACAATCATTTTTCAATGCTATACCCATTTCTAACTTAGCCCCTTGCTATATACAAAATGGGTTGTGTCCCCCCAAATTCATATTGAATCCCAACACCCAAGATGACTGCGTTAGAAGGTAGGACCCTCAGGAGGTAACTGGGTTTAGAATAGGATTAGTGCCCTTATAAATGAGAACGCAGAGAGTTTCCTGGGCCCTCCCACCACGTGAAATTACTACAAAAGACACCAACTATGAACCAAGAAGTAGAATCTGTTGCTGGCTTATCTGGATCTTCCAGCATCCAGAACTGTGAGAAATACATTTCTGTTGTCTATAAGCCACCCACTGTGTGGTATTTTTGTTACAGCAGCCTGCATGGATGGAGACAGCCCTCCTACACGCCTGAAGTTACTGACAAGACCAATGAGCAGTGGCGTACGAGACAAATGGATTAAAAATTGTATTCACCTTATGCTTTACAAAGCCCTTTAACTTACTCTGTATCTTTCGATCATCATAACAAGGCTCTGAGGAGGATGTTCTTAAACTAACTTTTTCCCAAGTTCACAGAAAAAACAATCATCAGAGTCAACCTCAAACTCAAGCACACAGATGCCGATCTTACTAGGAAACTTTCTGTGAGACTCTGTGATGCTTGTGCACAGGGATAGGTCAGTACTCTAAGTTGCAGGCATGATAAGAGATAATACGCAAATGACTGTCTAAACAAAAGTTTCGAGATCAAGACAATATACAAACGCACGCCATCAAGATGTATTTCGTATTTCCTTACAAAAGAAGGACAAGCAGCGTAGTGGAGTGAAAAATGGTCCTGTACTAGACAGAATTTATGTCCGTATCCACTACGAGAAGAAAGTGCAGTTTTTCATGTAAGGGTTCATTCTGACTTCCACACAATCAAAGTTAACATTTCAGTTAAAGTGTTTTAAATATGCCATCACTCTATGAAGACATCATAAGAGGCTGAAATTTAAGGGGGCTGAGTCATCACAAGAGAACACTAGGGAAGGCTCTGAAATTTACACCTTGTGAACCGTCTACTCCAGAAGCCCTACGACTAGCCATTAATGTTTCTACACGAGGCTCCGAAGCAATCTTTTATGCGCCACGGAACATCCGGACAAATTACTCTCCGTGAAAAATGTATCTTAGCTGTAAAGATACGCCGACAATTTTTTATTAAAAAGCAGTAAGGAAACAGTTCTCAGGAATACTGTTACTTTTCAAAGAAAACCTGTTTCGGTCAACATTTAGTTCTCCAAATTCTAAATGCTCCAATGGAAAATCTATTCCAGAAACTACTGCCATATATAAAAACACTATGCATACCCGGCTACGATTCTCAGTCAATAGATTTATTTTAAGTCATCTTCAAGTCCGTTAAATTCTAGTACAATAAAAATGGCCCAGAAATTTGTTAGAATTCATTGCAATAGAAATTGATCTGTATTTTCCTATGTGTCCATGTAAGTTTCTAATTAGAAATTTTAAGACTGTAAAAGACTTGCATATTTTCATTTCCTACAGAACATCTCTCTGCAAAGACTCAGAATCAACTAGCATGGACGTAAGAACAATCTTTCTCAAACGGAATAACGAATTTCTGGCCCCATGGTCATTACCTTTTCCTTCAGATGCTCTACACCTTCAAGTTCACAAAACCTACAACCTGCCCCACACCCAGTGACACCAAATGTGGACTCTACAGAGAGAAAGAAATGATTAATAAAGTAAGTGGATCAAAGTCTGTCCACAACACTGGAATAATTTCCCCATGTTTTTTAACTTACACAGACACACTCCTAAAAGTTCATAAGAAGACGCTTTATTCATAAGAAGACTAAAATCAGGATCTTTTGACAACCTTCTCATGAATCTCAAGATTCTATTCAGTTTTAATATTACCTAAGCTTAGTATATATAAAACATATATATGTACATGTATATACGTGTGCGTATATACACACACATATATATTATCCAGCACTGCTTTTTTAAAAATCCAAGTTACACCTCATGTTAACACCTCACTCTGGGGAGGAACCCACATCTCACTGAAGGAAACAACCATGAACATGAGTTTCAGAAAAAGAAAACACGTGCGCACACGCACACGGACATCTTTCGTGAAGACATTTAGAGACCGCCCCAGATCCCAAAACGGCGAGTTCCAAATAGGGACATCTGGCCAGCTCAGTCGGTAGAGCATATGACTCTTGATCTCTGGGTCGTGAGTTCAAGCCCCACGTGGGGTGTAGAGACTATGTTAAAAAAAAAAAAAAAAAAAAAAAAAAAAAAAAAGGTGCCAAATAAAAGGCAGAAGATCACCATCATTTTTTTTTCCCCAGGATTTGGGAAAACACCACACGTGTTGGACTCCCAGGCCCATCAAGCACACGTAAGCAGAGAGAATTCAATGATCCATGACTCCTCGAGGAAGCTGCCTGTTGTGGACACTGGCTTGTGGGTACAGGCTGCCCATTCAGGCAGATGCTGCGCACTGAGACCCAGGCTGAAGTCAGATGGACACGCCTCACCTTTCCGTCCGTGTCACCAGCTTCAACACACAGGTCCACGGAGAAGCAGACCGGCTGCCGTCCTACCTTCCCGCTCCCCGGAAAGATGAGAATAACTACCAAGGAGCAGCAGGGCCGCATTCACTCAAATATACTCCTTCGTCTTAGGGTTTAAACACACACAGGCTCCTTTCGTTCTTTCTGGCAATTTTCTCAGTTCGCTTTTAACCAAAGCTTCTCTGGATTTCTTTCGTCGGCCATGCTTATCATTGGCAATGGCTCTGTCCTGCCCTTTGAGCGTTCCCTTCTTGCAGAGCTTTTCTTGTTTTTTGCCCTTTTCAAACCCTCTCGATACAGTAATGAGAGGATGTTCTCCTCCTGTATACCCTGCAACCTCTGATGCGGGGGTGTTCTGTTGTTTCCTTTTCTCCCTCCTTCTCTCTAGCAGAGGTTCTCCTGGAGTGCCTGCTGGCCCCTGGTCACGCATCACCCTTACACCGTAGACCACACAAAACCCTGCAGGTGAGATTTTGTCCCGGAGCAGGGGCTTCTGACTCAGAGTGGGTGTTGCCTATCTCCCGTCGTTGAAGCAAACCCCCAAACTAGCCTCTCTGGTTCCCCCCAGACACTTCCGTCCGTTTCTCCAGAGATGAGCCTGGGGGACAGACACGGATTCTGGTCCTCGGTTGTCCCACTAGGGTGGGGACGTAGAGCCTGGGAAGTGTTCTGACTGCAGGCACCCATTACACCTGGTGAGTCCCAGCCGCACCCAGCACTGCAGGGACTCCGAGGGCCCCCCCGCCAAGGATGTCCAGGGTGGTGGCAGCCCCCACCGAGTTTTGGTCGTCACCAAGCCTTCATCACCTTTCGAGCTGCTAGGAACATTCTGAAATTTCTTTTCTGCGCTGGTCTGTTGTGCACTGGTCTGTTGTGCACTGGTCTGCACTTTCTGTTGTGGGTTTATGCATTTTTTATTCCTTTACTATCATTTTAATGGGGTCTCTGGAGGAAGAAGAGAGAAATAAGGGTGTTCAATCCACAGAAACTCCAGGCTCACAACAGAACTGGGGCTTCACAATAAGATGTCAGGCGCCGCCTTGGACTTATCAGGAAACTGTTCTTTAATGCTGACTTCACTAAGGCAAGGAGGCAACAGCGGATCT